TTTTAGGTTGTTTTAGGTTGTTTTAGGTGGTTGTAGGTGGTTGTAGGTCGTTCCATGTTTTAGTGCTTACGAAATTTTCAAACGTTTTGTTGATATATCCTGTCTCAAATTATGTCTAACTTATTGAACACTCTGAAAAAGAATTTATATTTGCGTTACAGTCTACAAACTTTCTGCATAAATGTATAGGTTTTACGTGCTGCGTTTCGAGAAAACTAGCAATGCAGGGGCAACTGAAGCTCAAGGCACGATAGCCTGAGTATCAGGCTCCGCCCTAAACCCCTTCGAGAGAGCCTGATACTCAGGCTAAAGGCACGAGAATAAAGGCTCACTTGAACTTTGCTTTGCCCTTTGGTAAAATAAAAGTTGTTCTACCTACTAGTGCAAATAATAAATAAAATACCAGAAAAATATTCAACCCACTAACTAGGCATTAGAGGAGAACAAGGAGTTTTAGCGAGGTTGTGCAAAGATAGTTGAAAATTGATACTTGTTGAGCAAGGTTGTCGTAAAAATAGTGTTTAGCAGTTCCTGAGATCAGTAGTCTCCTATGTGCCACTATATGACAACCTTCTATCAGTCAAAAGTAGAATCGCAGAAAATTAAGTTTGTCATGCAATTCTTTTTGACAAACGCCGTTGCCTCTTAAGAAGTACATAACCCTGATGTGTTCACATGGATGATTACATTATAATACACTGTAAAGTACGAAAACGCGTTATTTACTTCAGTAATGACACAATGACTTGACATTGTAGTTTTTGCGGGGTTCCCACTCACTATTTAAATCGGTACATGAACAAAATTGCAAGTTCCTCCAGTGAACTATCCAAATATGCAGCGAAAGCATCGGTCAATGGTGCATGTGCAAATCAAAATATGGCACACCATTGTTTGAATAAGAATGGCACGCAATGTCAAATAAAGCTTCAAATTCTTAATGCAAACATAAATCAAAACAGTGACTAACTTACCTGGAGTTAACTTTGTCCTTCTTCGTTTTTTCTTCCTTCGAAAGAATAGACTGTGGTCTGTCTCGGCAGTATTTTTGTTAGGCCCAGGAATTATTGCGAAATATCACACAATCTATGTCCACGTGACGGGATTACGTTTTAACATTGGCTGATTTTATACTGTCCCACAGGCCACAGCATGAAAAAATAGATTTAAGTAAGCGTAAAGGTTGCTTAAAGCTAGCGTAAAGTTCATCTTTAAGCTCCTTTAATCCACATTTACATTTTCGTAAAGTTCAGCTTTAACCCTCTTTTTTCGAGTCATTTTCTGCTACAGAAGCCCCTAGGCCTGCATCATTAAGCTAGACTAGGCGGTTAAGACACTCTTCTGRAAGAAATCAGGAGTGGGGAGCGATTTTTCGAAGACAATGGCGGCAATGCGAATGTCAGTTTGAATTGTTGTCGTTAGAGAAATATCGTATCCCAAGTCTTTCTGCAGCGGATTTCAGACCCTACCAAGGTAAATTTGGCAAGTTTTAAGAGCGACTGTCCAGAAATATCGAGCATAGGCCGGTCACAGTGAAAAATTCAAATTCCTTGAAACTTAGTTTCTGGACACCTTTCTGTGAGCCTACTAACGTGGTCTAATGGGTTTTTTGATCTACGTTGAGAAATTTGAGTTTTTGAGCAAAATTGGTTTTACCCCGATTTGGTCTAAAATTAGCATATAAGACCGCTAAAACTGGCAACTTTTTAAAAGTTATTTCTTCAATCAATTTAAATATTTTTGCGCAATTTTTTTACATAATCCGAAAGAATACATCCTAAGGAGTTTCCTGGAATCGGTTTTGGCTTTTTAATGTATTTTTAA